CCTGCTAACATTGATAAGGTTGTAATAATGTAAGTCACTCGAGAAAGTCACACAAACATTGGTAAGGTTGCAGTGTGTAGAGCAATGGATACTGACACAATAGTTAGAACAATGGGGGACTATGTTCAGATATGAACGAGGTGTAATTTAATGGAAAATGTCTTATTGACTTGGACAAGTAGTGATAATGAGGACAACGGAGAAGGACTTACAGATGTTATGAAATGCAACGTATAGATCAAAAGAAAACGAGATACGGGCATTGAATGTGTTTATTGGTTTTAAATCCTTCAAACTAAATGCCTATGTCGTTATCTAAATTATAATGTAATTATTTATACCTGAGAGAGCCTAGATAAATAAAGAACCCTGTACTGACCGTCTAATAGATAAACAACTCGCCGGGTTTTATGAACTTCGCACTATTCAAATTGGTCAAGTGACCAGGTGATCTAAGGATAGGTGTCCAGAGCATGGTACAATAACGCACGACAATGATGTGTATATTGCTGTGTAAATGTTTGTCTTTGTAAGTACTGTCCTTGGTTAGATATTTATTACTTTAGCTTCTTGTATATGCCTCCATCTGAAACTCCATCAAAGTTTATAAAGATTGTAGCGAAAAACCCATTGAATGTAGAAAAGGTGTAGATTATCATTGCTATATTTAATCCCAAATCCGACAATACCAACACTATTCCCCAAAAGAACCATGTCCTGATCAAGAAAATATATTTTCCTTTTTTGGCTGAAGAACAGAGCCTTAAAGATGTTATTTTTTTCTTTATATGTAACAGTAGCACGGATAATGTATACATAATTGATATCAAACTGCTTTCGGCACGTCAGAGGAAACAAGTACAAAAGAATACAAGAGAGTGTTTTAGGTTATATTAACCATTCCTGAATTCAGTGTGTATCACCCAGGGCCATCTTCATATGACGCTACGCGCACGTTAAACACATACAAACAAATCCGCAGATACCTATGGTTACCAGTAGCTCCTTTTGTTGTTTTCCAGACCAAGGAACTCCATTCTACACACGTATAAATTAAAACCAATAATGAATTTTGGATTAAGGCTGTTGTGTCTTGGGAGGCTACAATGCATGCTAAATAATTAGTCAATAATATTCCATTCCGCTGAGGACAATACATCAAGCATACGAACATATTATACAATCAATGGCAATGGATTTCTTGTTCATTTTTGCCCTACCCAAGGCTGGTGTGTTTGTAGGGCGACACGAATTGCTATTAAGGTATACAATATAAACATAACATGCATGCTGGCATAATGTGGGCTGCATTGGGATTATCCCTATACGCAACTCAAATGAAATACACGTCCATTAAGAGTACAAAATGGCTGTTTTTTTCTGACAAGTTATAAGGTCACGAGAGGTTGTACGAACAGATAAACACAAACCAGATACACAGATACACATGAACACTAAACCAAATTACACAGATACACATGCAGGGAGATTAGTAACACAGACATGATCTAGTTACACAGACACGTTAGATCATGGAGACTTGTTACACAGACACGTTAGAACACAGGGACTTGTTACACAGACATAAACTAGTTACACAGACACGTTAGAACATAGAGACTTGTTAAACAGACATAAACTAGGTACACAGACACGTTAGATCATGGAGACTTGTTACACAGACATAAACTAGTTACACAGACACGTTAGAACATAGAGACTTGTTACACAGACATAAACTAGTTAAGCAGACACGTTAGAACATAGGGACTTGTTACACAGACATAAACTAGTAACACAGACACGTTAGAACACAGAGACTTATAACACCGACATAAACTAGTTACACAGACACGTTAGAACATAGAGACTTGTTACACAGACATAAACTAGTTAAGCAGACACGTTAGAACATAGGGACTTGTTACACAGACATAAGCTAGTTAAACAGACACGTTAGAACATAGGGACTTGTTACACATACATAAACTAGTTAAACAGACATGTTAGAACATAGAGACTTGTTACACAGACACGTTGGAACACAGAGACTTATAACACCGACATAAACTAGTTACACAGACACGTTAGAACATAGGGACTTGTTACACAGACATAAACTAGTTGAACAGACACGTAAGAACATAAGGACTAGTTACACAGACACGTTAGAACATAAGGACTTGTTACACAGACACGCGAACAGAACTTCACATCATTCAATGTGTAACAGTAATCAATTTTCCCCGATTTTGTTGTTATTCCCTTAGCCTATCAAAAATGCAAAATTCACCAATATAAGTATGGCTCGCTTTTACGTTTGTTTTAATCGTTTAAAGGGCAATGATTTATAGCAAGCCGTTTTAATATTTAACACTTTTTCATCTTAAGTTGAAATATGCTCCTTTTACCTTAAGGTAAAAAAAATCCTTTTTTTTGCATTACGTATAATTTCATCCAAGTGAGATGTAATTTATTTACCGTCAGAGGAATTATCTTTCACTTTAAGGTGTACTCCTCTGAGAAGTTAAACAATTCCCGTATTAAACTTTGTCTTGTTTCCATTTTTTGGAACAAGGAGTTACTGGCATAGTAGTACATGTATATTTAGGTATTTGCCTTCCGAATTCAATATTATAACAGTTCCCTGGATAAAGGTGAATAATTAAAGCAAGCCGTTTAATATTTAATACTAACATCTTCGGGTAACGTATGATTTAAATTTATTACACTTATGTGAAATTATATTTACCTTAAATAACTTAAGTCAAAAAAGAATTTAACTTAACTCAAACAAAATTTCACATACGTGAATTATTCGTTTTAGTATACATAATATATACATTTAGATGAAAAGAGTGTAAAATATAAACTACATGTACTTGTCATAAATATATTGTTCTATGGTGCGTGTTCAGTCATACGTTCGATATGGTGTCTGTTAATGTTTTAAATAGTGCAGTATAATTCCCAGAGGATTGTGAACAGTATACAAGATAGATAGATAGTATGTAGTTATTTTCAGTAAACGCCTGTGATAATGTTCCATGTAGCTAAACCACGCAGTGTCTCCCTATTCAGGTCTGTTCTAGGAGGCGGGACCTATGAATCGCCGTTCATAACCGACTATATGCGGAAGCGTTATTGACTCAAGGTTCATGTCCGTCATAAGGATTTAGACGCAGAGCCGCAGAGAGTTCTGCAGCAAGACGGAACACGTGCTGTTGTTCACTGCTGATAGTAGTCCTATCAAACGGAATCCATAGCAATCAGAGTACATGAATGTCGTAAAACTCCACGAAGCGAACGGACATTATAATTAACTCTGCGTTATGTTTTGGTCATAGCCTACTTTGTGGAAGCAGTAGTGTTTTACTGTTAGTTACGCTCCATGTTTGTACCGCGGAGCATGTAGCATTGTTATAAACCTAAACACATAAAACCTGTAATGCCTCAGCGTACAAGTCTATTCAAATCTTCTATAAGTCAAAACTTGTCATTACCCGGTGTGTATCTATCACGCGAGTCCTGTAGAGACTCGTATTTAATGGCTATTATTACGTATGTGTAAGTGTTTAAGCGTACAGAAAGGTGTCTGGCTGTACAAGAAGACATCTCAATACAATGAGGCGCAAGGAAATTGGTTGAGAGTCCTGGTTTGATAACAAAATGTTAATTATATAGTTCTAAGATTGTTTTAGTGTCTCGTCTCGAAAAAAAGTGTCGGCGGGGTTTCGGTAGGATTATAGACATGGAGAATAGGGAAAAATTTAGTTTGTATGGTACAGCAATGAACAGGAATTAAAAGCTAGGTTAAAACAATAAAATGAGCAGAACGGGTATGTCTTTTTGTTTGGTCAGACAATAGTGAAGTGGAGAACGAGGCTGCAGAGGTGCTTGTATGGTTTAAAGGAGAATGAGACAAGTAAACCATGTTTGGTACACCAAAGGATGAACGTTTGTATGGCGAAGTGGAGAACAGAACGGGATGAACTTTTGTATGGCGAAGTGGTGAATGGGACGATTGTTTTGTATGGCGAAGTGGTGAATGGGATGATTGTTTTGTATGTCGAAGAGGTAAATGGGATGATTATTTTGTGTGGCGAAGTGGTGAATGGGACGATTGTTTTGTATGTAGAAGAGGTAAATGGGATGAATGTTTTGTATGTAGAAGAGGTAAATGGGATGAATGTTTTGTATGTCGAAGAGGTAAATGGGATGAATGTTTTTTTATGTCGAAGAGATGAATGGGATGATTGTTTTGTATGTCGAAGAAATTGGGGTGATTGTTTTGTATGTCGAAGAGGTAAATGGGATGAATGTTTTTCATGTCGAAGAGATGAATGGGATGATTATTTTGTGTGGCGAAGTGGTGAATGGGATGATTGTTATGTATGTTGAAGAGGTGAAACGAATGATTGTTTTGTATGTCGAAGTGGTGAATGGGATGATTGTTTTGTGTGGCGAAGTGGAGAACAGTATCGTTTCTATGATTTTTTTTTATTTTGTAAGATGAAGTGACATGTTTTTGTTTGTTTTGAATGATATAAAGAGAACTGGGAGAAATTTTGTAGGGCGAAGGAAGTACGACATGAAGTACAGTTTGTCTATTAGTGAATTTGAAGTATGGTATAAAGTGCCGTTAAGTATATTTAAACAATATATAAACAATATATAAACAATATAAAAGGGAGACCGAGAATGAAATATGGTTAATACAGAGAAGCACGGGAGAGCCATACCAAAACAAACAACAAAAGGATGAAAACAATACGTAATTTGCCTGAAACCATCTTTATTCATACCAACATTTATGTTACACTAGTACATTGTCATCTCAATCAGACCCATCACAATGTTCTAGGTATTCCTTCATATCATAATGCCAACAGTTACCTCATGTCCCATGTAAGGACACATGTTACTGTTCCAGGAGTAGGTGCTCTATTGGTTTGCATATGTTCAGTCGGAAATCAAGCACAGCTTTCCTTTAGTAGGACATCAGTTCTATCACTACATGTGTTGGTTTACTGTTTCTGCTACATTCCCTAATAAATGATGTTAATATAACAAAATATTGACTGAATATCGAATCAAGGTAGCATGTGCTATATTCTTAGTAACACTTGAAAATACGAATTGATGCTGGAGTTCTAAACAATACTAGTACGTCATCTTATAGACGAGGCAGTGGTACCAAACTGAAATCAAACTGAAAAGTTCTTAGGTGGAGTATTACTGAGGTGCTACTTAAAAGGTGTGTCACCCAACAGGTGATACTTAAAAGGTGTGTCACCTGACAGGTGATACTAGGGTGGAGTGAAACATACTAGGCGTTACTAGGAATAAATGCTTCCGGACAGGAACAGGTTTCACTAGGGAAATGTTGCCCGTCTGAGGTTTTACTTGAGAAAAGTGTTACCTTAGATATGTTGGTTGGGTTGAGTGTAACGTGCTAGGCGTTACTAAGGAGAAATATTACCCGACGGGTTTCACTAGGGAACTGTTACTATACCTGTCTGCGGTTTACTAAAGAGATTGTTACCCAACAGATGCTGCTAGGATTAACACGCTAGGCGTAACTATGAAGAAACGTTACTAGGGAGATGTAACCTGTCTGAGGATTTACTTAAGAGATTTTTACCGTAGACGTGTTATAAAATGTAAATCTGACAGGTGTTATTTGGATGAAGCAATACTTGACTGAGGGTTACTAAGGAAGTTTTACCTGTACGAGGTGTTACTGAAGAGGAGTGTCACTTGACTGAGGGTTACTAAGGAAGTTTTACCTGTACGAGGTGTTACTAAAGAGGAGTGTTACATGACTGACGGTTACTAAGGAAGTTTTACCTGTCCGAGGTGTTACTAAAGAGGCAAGTTACTTGACTGACGGTTACTTAGGAAGCTTTGCCTGTCCGAGGTGTTACTAAGGAAGAGTGCCACTTGACTGACGGTTACTAAGGAAGCTTTGCCTGTCCGAGGTGTTACTAAGGAAGAGTGTCACTTGACCGAGGGTTACTTAGGAAGCTTTGCCTGTCCGAGGTGTTACTAAAGAGGAGTGTTACTTGACTGAGGGTTACTTCGGAAGCTTTGCCAGTCCGAGGTGTTACTAAAGAAGAGTGCTACTTGACTGACGGTTACTTGGTAAGATTTGCCTGTCCGAGGTGTTACTAAAGAAGAGTGTTACTTGACTGAGGGTTACTTTGACTGAGGGTTACTAAGGAAGTTTTACCTGTCCGAGGTATTACTAAAGAGGAGTGTTACTTGACTGACGGTTACTAAGGAAGTTTTACCTTTCCGAGGTGTTACTGAAGTGGAGTGTTACTTGACTGACGGTTACTTAGGAGGTTTTATCTGTACGAGGCGTTACTGAAGAGGAGTGTTACTTGTCTGACGGTTACTAAGGAAGTTTTACCTGTACGAGGTGTTACTAAAGAGGAGCATTACTTGACTGACGGTTACTAAGGAAGTTTTACCTGTACGAGGTGTTACTAAAGAGGAGTGTTACTTGACTGACGGTTACTAAGGAAGTTTTACCTTTCCGAGGTGTTACTGAAGAGGAGTGTTACTTGACTGACGGTTATTAAGGAAGCTTTGCCTGTCCGAGGTGTTACTAAAGAGGTGTGTTACTTGACTGATGGTTACTAAGGAAACCTTGCCTGTCCGAGGTGTTACTAAAGAGGAGAGTTATTTGACTGACGGTTACTTAGGAAGCTTTGCCTGTCCGAGATGTTACTAAAGAGGAGAGTTATTTGACTGACGGTTACTTAGGAAGCTTTGCCTGTCCGAGATGTTACTAAAGAGGAGAGTTACTTGACTGATGGTTACTAAGGAAGCTTTGCCTGTCCGAGATATTACTAAAGAGGAGTGTTACTTGATTGATGGTTACTTAGGAAGCTTTGCCTGTCCGAGATGTTACTAAAGAGGAGTGTTACTTGACTGACGGTTACTAAGGAAGTTTTACCTGTACGAGGTGTTACTAAAGAGGAGTGTTACTTGATTGATGGTTACTTAGGAAGCTTTGCCTGTCCGAGATGTTACTAAAGAGGAGAGTTAGTTGACTGACGGTTACTTAGGAAGCTTTGCCTGTCCGAGATGTTACTACAGAGGAGAGTTATTTGACTGACGGTTACTTAGGAAGCTTTGCCTGTCTGAGATGTTACTATAGAGGAGTGTTACTTGACTGACGGTTACTAAGGAAGCTTTGCCTGTACGAGGTGTAACTCAAGAGTAGTGTTACTTGACTGACGGTTACTAATGAAGTTTTACCTGTACGAGGTGTTACTAAAGAGGAGTGTTACTTGACTGACGGTTACTAAGGAAGCTTTGCCTGTCCGAGATGTTACTGAAGATCAGTGTTACTTGACTGACGGTTACTAAGGAAGTTTTACCTGTACGAGGTGTTACTGAAGAGTAGTGTTACTTGACTGACGGTTACTAAGGAAGCTTTGCCTGTCCGAGATGTTACTGAAGAGTAGTGTTACTTGACTGACGGTTACTAAGGAAGTTTTTCCTGTACGAGGTGTTACTGAAGAGTAGTGTTTCTTGACTGACGGTTACTAAGGAAGCTTTGCCTTTCCGAGGTGTTACTGAAGAGGAGTGTTACATGACTGACGGTTACTAAGGAAGTTTTACCTGTTCGAGGTGTTGAGGGTTACTAAGGAAGTTTTACCTGTACGAGGTGTTACTGAAGAGAAGTGTTACTTGACTGACGGTTACTAAGGAAGTTTTACCTTTCCGAGGTGTTACTGAAGAGTAGTGTTACTTACTAAGGAAGTTTTACCTGTACGAGGTGTTACTGAAGAGGAGTGTGACTTGACTGACGGTTACTAAGGAAGCTTTACCTGTTCGAGGTGTTACTGAAGAGGAGGGTTACTTGACTGACGGTTACTAAGGAAGTCTTACCTGTACGAGGTGTTACTAAAGAGGAGTGTTACTCGACTGACGGTTACTAAGGAAGCTTTGCCTGTACGAGGTGTAACTCAAGAGTAGTGTTACTTGACTGACGGTTACTAAGGAAGTTTTGCCTGTACGAGGTGTTACTAAAGAGGAGTGTTACATGACTGACGGTTACTAAGGAAGTTTTACCGGTACGAGGTGTTACTAAAGAGGAGTGTTACTCGACTGACGGTTACTAAGGAAGCTTTGCCTCTCCGAGATGTTACTGAAGAGTAGTGTTACTTGAATGACGGTTACTAAGGAAGTTTTACCTGTACGAGGGGTTACTGAAGAGTAGTGTTACTTGACTGACGATTACTAAGGAAGTTTTACCTGTACGAGGTGTTACTGAAGAGGAGTGTCACTTGACTGAGGGTTACTAAGGAAGTTTTACCTGTACGAGGGGTTACTGAAGAGTAGTGTTACTTGACTGATGGTTACTAAGGAAGCTTTGCCTGTCCGAGATATTACTAAAGAGGAGTGTTACTTGATTGATGGTTACTTAGGAAGCTTTGCCTGTACGAGGTGTTACTGAAGAGTAGTGTTTCTTGACTGACGGTTACTAAGGAAGCTTTGCCCGTCCGAGATGTTACTGAAGATCAGTGTTACTTGACTGATGGTTACTAAGGAAGCTTTGCCTGTCCGAGGTGTTACTAAGGAAGAGTGCCACTTGACTGACGGTTACTAAGGAAGCTTTACCTTTCCGAGGTGTTACTGAAGAGGAGTGTGACCTGACAGGTGCTAATATATTGTTACCTATCATAGTGTCTTTAGTGTTCCCAAGAGGTAGGAACAATATACATTTTGTCTTCCTTTGCATAAAGAGAAAAGCAATTTGCATGATTGCTTAAAAAGACCTGTTATATACATATAGCTCCATCTAAATATATATTAAACATAACAAACTGGACATGAACAGGCTGTTTGTTGTGAAGCCATCTCTGACATTTATAATATTTAGTATATACACAATGATAATATAATACTTTACAATATTAATTGATTCACATGAATTAATTTACAGTTGCTACAGAGCATCAGTTCACAGAAATACAACCCCTCTACAGATCAACGTTATTAACCATGTGAGTTGGGGTCAATGAGTTAGGGGACTCATTCTCTGGAGTTTATCCCCATACCCTGTCCCTAGTGCATTTCAGACTACATGTCTCCTCTCTAAAGATGCTAAATCCATAATCCAATGCAGTGTGAAGACCCATAGCCAAACCCCATAGTTAACAGAAAGATAGGTCCCTTCAGACCCGTATCCCCATCCCTTCAGACCCAAATCCCCATCCCTTCAGACCCGTATCCCCATCCCTTCAGACCCGTATCCCCATCCCTTCAGACCCGTATCCCCATCCCCTGCATTTTGCAGACCTACAGCACCATCCACTGTATTTTGCTGAAGTACAAACCTGGTCCCTGTATATAGTGAAAAATAAGCACCATCCTCTGTATTTTATAAAAATAAAGTCCCATCTACTGTATTTTGCAGATTGCAGCCCAACTTCCTGTGCTTTTAAGAAATATAGCCCCATCCCCCGTATTTTGGAGACCTACAGCTGGGTGGGGGACGTAATTCTGTATGAACTGATACCGAGGCATAATGTATATATACAGTACAGGACAACATGCACGAAATAGAGATCTCAACTAAATCAGTGTTGGTCTAATTATAAGGCAGCTATTGGCTACTAACTGTTTCACAGTGTTGCATATGATGATACATGATCAAAACAAGTCTGATGAATACTAGGGGTTAGTTATAACTTAACAATGATGAGAACACAACATTTCACATGTGTGTATCTGGCCTCCATTGTTTTTATTAGGCAATATCAGAGCGGAGATTAGCCCTGTCATCATCTAAATACTGGAGCACATGTTTCTGATTGGAGGGCAATCTTCTATTAAGGATAACGTCAGTGCTGATACTAATATCACAAAATGAGTTCCTCAATGATTAACTGATGAAGTAGCATCAGTATAATGTGTGAATACATCGTCTTTATAACATCATACAAACTATAGGGAAGGAATTAATATCAACATTGAAATAATAACTTAAATGTGTGTATATTGCATCTTTGGAAGAAGTTTTAATATAAATGTTAATGCACACTTGCTTTCTCCCTCTCTCTCATCATTATAAATATATATTTTACAGATGTTCTAGACTATATTTTTTTAAGTAAATAGAGTTTCATTTGCAATGTTCTCTCTAGACTTTATTAAAACTTATATTACTGAAGTAGTTTATAAAACTGTAAATTATAGACCATTCAGGAGTTACTGAAGAGAAACAATACAGAATCTCGTATTACATCAACATTACCACCTAACATGCACTATTTCATAAACTTGAACCTTTTCTGTTGTTTAATTTCATAAAAGTGTGCTTTTAAAGCGTGTACTAGTCTCTATATTATCCCATTTAATCCAGTATTTATACAGAGTGAGTGTGCTTTGATCAATTTAGTTATATTTACCACAGAAAGTTACCACATAAAACACTAAGACATCTCACATATACCAACATTAAATCAATCTGAATGACATCAAATTGATTTGAATGAAACTTCATTAGTAATTACGGCCCCTACTTGTGAAAACGGGAGTGAATATGACCTCATACACGAATGCATATATAACTGTGAAACTTTAGCACTTATTGGGTTAATCATAAGATTATTGAATCACCATCAATCATGAAATCAGTAAATTGATTTTATTATAAGGTCGGAAAAAACAAAAATAGCAATCATACTATCATAGTTACTGTGTAATGTAAAAGTTACAGGGTAACAATGATGACAAATATTCCTGGTATGTGTGATACACAAGTTATTAGTTTATCCATTATTATGCTATTCAATATTATCAGATCTATTAAACAATCAGTACCTTATAATAATAATTTTACTGCACACTAAAATCACATGAAGTTAAATCAGATCATTTAGGCCGTTTGCACAGGATACCCGACTACATAAATAGTTCATGTACTACGTACCTGAGTTTTATATAACTGACCAGTCAACTAAGATTTATAGTATATTGTCTGCTGATATGCCAATAAAAAGGCAAATTTATTAGGTTTTTCACCCTCAGGTAAAAATAACATGATACTGAAATACACAATTAAGAGAGAGTCAGACTTTTGGAGGGAGATATATATAATGGCGGCGTTGTTTTATTGGAGGTTGACATCCTCACAACAGCTATGGTTAAACCTGGACAGGTACTACACTCTCTGTTACAACAACGGGAAGATCGACAACTGACCACTTTCCCCGATGTTTTAGAAAGCCTGATACAAGCCTTCACTACCATTTATAATGTATACAAATTCAACTGGCTACATTGAATTCTCTTACTTACTGGCATATTTCTTAAAATCCACCAAAACACTGGATTTATTTCTGATACCTTTGCTATATGTCATCCCCAATGACCTTGGTAAAATTGTGTTCTCAAACAATAATCTGTATCATTACAGTGATAAACAATAATCTGTATCATTACAGTGAAAAACAAAATATCTGTTTTCTGTAAACAGCAACAAATCTTTTGGATCATGACTCCCCACCCTCTTATAGCTTACAGGTGATTTCAGTCTGGATAATGACTCCCCACCCTTTTATAGCTTACAGGTGATTTCAGTTCAATGTTAAAGGAGTGGAAAAATGCAAGAGCCTGATAGGGTTTAGAACCTACAACTTCATAGCCTAGGTCAATTATCTAACAAACAGATGTATTTGACTAGGTGAAGTTCAACTACTGTACAAGTCCAAGTTTAAGGTTAGGATGTAGGTGTAAGACATGAAGCTAAACCTATCCTTATTTCATATCTCTGTCAACACATGTATTTAAACCTATTCTATCTAAACATCTCTGTAAGATGTGTGAGTTGACACCTGACAGAATACTCTCTGACCTAGCGAGTGTAATAACATCTCTGTAAGACGTGTGAGTTGACACCTGAAAGAATACTCTCTGACCTAGCGAGTGTAATAACATCTCCGTAAGACGTGTGAGTTGACACCTGACAGAATACTCTCTGCCCTAGCGAGTGTAATAACATCTCTGTAAGACGTGGGAGTTGACACCTGACAGAATACTCTCTGACCTAGCGAGTGTAATAACATCTCCGTGAGACGTGTGAGTTGACACCTGACAGAATACTCTCTGACCTAGCGAGTGTAATGGTAAGTTGACCCTTACCCTATTATGTATTTGTTGTTGGTCGACGGATCATCTTCAAAACCAAGGGCTCAATCTTGATAGAGAGGATATGTGTATCGAATAACAGAACCGTTTGATTACAACAATGCTGACAGATGAATAGTTCTGGGTTAGATTGGACTCTTAATCTATTGCAGGTTTGTTAACAGAAAGATGGACAGAGATGATTGAAGGTTAGACTCTTTTACATGGCTGATCAAGAGTTACAATTGAGGATTTGGCCCTTAATCTGTTATATGCTTGTTTACAGACAGATGAACAAATACATTTGAGGGTTGGTCTGCTGACACTCATAGTAACAAGGGACACTGTAAAACTGTATAAAAAGGGATGAGTTTTGATTTAACAAACATATACTTAAAAAGAATGTCCCCCTCCCCCTAAAAATATAACATACAAATAAATTATATGCATATACCACAAAACATATAAATATACTTTATAAACATTGAATGTCAACATAGGGTAAAAACAGTACAAAATATGAATTGCAAGTAGGCCACATGGTAAAGTGTTATGCCACGACCTCGCCTTCCCTTTGTGCGAAAGGCCTTTAGTGTCTCCCACCATACTTTATAAATAATCTGAAATCTGGTTATTCCGTCCAATAGAAGTGTAATGCTGAATATTTCCCAATTGTTATGATGGAAATCACCCATAGGGGTTCTCTCCAAAAGATATTGTAATGTTGGGATCACCCATGTGGATATCCTCCAATAGATATTGTAATGTTGGGATCACCCATGGGGACTTCCTCCAGTAGATATTGTAATGTTGGGATCACCCATGGGGATATCCTCCAATAGATATTGTAATGTTGGGATCATCCATGGGGATTTCCTCCAATAGATATTGTAATGTTGGGATCATCCATGGGGATATTTCCTCCAATAGATATTGTAATGTTGGGATCACCCATGGAGATATCCTCCAATAGATATTGTAATGTTGGGATCACCTATGGGGACTTCCTCCAGTAGATATTGTAATGTTGGGATCACCCATGGGGATATTTCCTCCAATAGATATTGTAATGTTGGGATCACCCATGGAGATTTCCTCCAATAGATATTGTAATGTTGGGATCATCCATGAAGATTTCCTCCAGTAGATATTGTAATGTTGGGATCACCCATGGGGATTTCCTCCAGGAGATATTGTAATGTTGGGATCACCCATGGAGATTTCCTCCCATAGATATTGTAATGTTGGGATCACCCATGGGGATATCTCCTCCAATAGATATTGTAATGTTGGGATCACCTATGGGGACTTCCTCCAGTAGATATTGTAATGTTGGGATCACCCATGGTGATTTCCTCCAGGAGATATTGTAATGTTGGGATCACCCATGGGGATATCCTCCAATAGATATTGTAATGTTGGGATCACCCATGGGGATTTCCTCTAGTAGATATTGTAATGTAATGTTGGGATCACCCATGGGGACTTCCTCTAGTAGATATTGTAATGTAATGGAAATTTCCCCTGGGGATTCCCACCAAAAGACTTAGTAAAGCTGGAGATCACCCCGACTAAGAGATTTCCATTCAAAAGCTGACAGACTTACTCATGGCTCTAGGTAAACTGTATTTCCTCCCAATGCCATAATAAGTTGTGTGTATGTTCAAGACCTTTCAATCTACAACTGCTGTAGCATTCTACTTCTGGAGAGAGTTAAAAAATACAGAAAGGTTATTTCTAAATCTAACAACAAAACAAATCCTCCATTATTTTTGTATCCCATTAAATCTAGACATACCATATTGGTAATGTCTCTACATTAGAAAAATGAAAACTTAATTGAGGACAATAATTAATGGGTCTGCAATGTGTTAAATGGAAAGATGACGTTTGCGCATCTATTTGCTTTAAGGTGGGAGTGGAAGGTTTTGTTGGGGACACGAATTGCTACTTTGAGGACCAGTGAAGTAATTAACATGAGACCTGATCAACCTTGGCCTTCATACCATTGTCCACAGCTAACATGGAGTCAGATACTCATCTTAAAGTTTCCATTTCAATTAAGATTAATACAATTCAATTGATAAAATTACAAAATTACAATTATATGATGTACATGACAAGAGAAATTGAGGGAATCTTTTATCTCATAGACATGCTAAAATAACATTTTTTTATCAACACAATATCCATTTAGAAGTCTGAGACAAAATAATTGAGGTATTCTTATTTGAAAGGCATGCTAAAAGACAATTTGTCATGCAAATAACAATAAAATGAAAACTGTAAATCATAATTTTATCCCAAAAACTATATCACATTATTTTCTTTTCAAAAAAACAAAAAACCCAATTCTTTGTCATTGCCATATAGTTTACACCGAGCTGTTTATGTCGTCAACTTCTGAGAAATTCATTTTGATTTTTTAGAACATAATGTAAATATTTCCTTTAAAACTGACATTTATTCCAGATATGAAGGGGTTATACAATTTCATATTAAAGGATTGACACTTGCTAATATGGGATTATCTGCATGCATTTAAATTGCCAGTATCCTTGTTTAGTGTAGGTACAACAATAACAAGTTGTTTCTTTGTATACATTATCTTCGGAGGGTTTTTCAATGAAATTTGCATGCAATAAGATAGAAAAATCCCATACAAGAAGAAATGGCAACATTACAAATGGCTGTATAAAACAGGACAAGGTTGCTGGATGGAGTAAATGCTGTGGCTGTTGTGGTCATAGGCTTGCCAGGTGGGTGTGGTAAGGAGAGTGACCGAGTGGGCGTGGCCCAGTGGGCGAGGTGGCTGGAAGGAGTGGTACAATATTACAATATCAAGGTGACGAGAGTGCACCACATCAGGAAGCACCACCAGTACTGACACGCTCACTGCGAGCTTTACTCAGGTTATAGGTCTCGTTCACACCTTTCATTCCAATGTCCTTCCACACTTTGAGGGAGCGCTCCTTGCGATACTGTTCCCAGCGGTCATCGTCTGACTCATGTGTGAGGTAGCGCTGGCCAACCATTTCCTCCAGCTTTCGTAGGTCACACCAAGTCTGGTAGTCCTGTAGTGGAACAATGAAGGAATTTAACACATGAATGAAAGGACAGTACACACATAGATATATGTATACTACACAGACTTACCATGAAGATAGCCCATATACAGAGACAATAAAACTTTTAAGGACCGAACCTCTGTCTCATTAATTGGTTCCAATTAAGTTTCAATTGCAATGATAAATCGTTTATATCAAAGATTATGTCAATACAAAATGTTACAAATATGACAGATTGTTCTAATAATTGATCGTAATACTTCTATATCTCACAAAGTCTAACTTTATCAGTAAACCATGGATCTAAAATCATTATTTCGTAAATAGTATTTAATATGATATGGAACTTGAAATAAAAAAAAAAGCGTACAGTAAAACCCCTATATAATGTCCCATGTTAATACAGTAAAACTCCAATATAATGTCCCATGTTTATACAGTAAAACCCCAATATAATGTCCCATGTTTATACAGTAAAACCCCAATATAATGTCCCATGTTTATACAGTAAAACCCCAATATAATGTCCCATGTTTATACAGTAAAACCCCAATATAATGTCCCATGTTTATACAGTAAAACCCCAATATAATGTCCCATGTTTATACAGTAAAACCCCAATATAATGTCCCATGTTTATACAGTAAAACCCCAATATAATGTCCCATGTTTATACAGTAAAACCCCAATATAGTGTCCCATGTTTATACAGTAAAACCCAAATTTAATGTCCCATGTTTATACAGTAAAACCCCAATATAGTGTCCCTTGTTTATACAGTAAAACCCCAATATAATGTCCCATGTTTATACAGTAAAACCCAAATTTAATGTCCCATGTTTATACAGTAAAACCCCAATATAATGTCCCATGTTTATACAGTAAAACCCCAATATAGTGTCCCTTGTTTATACAGTAAAACCCCAATATAATGTCCCATGTTTATATAGTAAAACCCCAATTTAATGTCCCATGTTTATACAGTAAAACCCCAATATAGTGTCCCATGTTTATACAGTAAAACCCCAATATAGTGTCCAATGTTTATACAGTAAAACCCCAATATAGTGTCCAATGTTATACAGTAAAACCCCAATATAGTGTCCCATGTTCATACAGTAAAACGCAATATAATGTCCCATGTTTAACAGTAAAACCCCAATATAATGTCCCATGTTTATATAGTAAAACCCCAATATAATGTCCCATGTTTATACATTAAAACTCCAATATAACGCCCATGTTTGATTTGCCACCTTGCTTATTGCCAACAATATCAGTATGAAGTTGAACTGTATTCTATATCGTGTAATAATTGCACTACTGTCAGCATATAGTACATGTCAGATTATATTATATACACACGGGTTAGTATTGTAGAATCCATATTCCTATTCCATTATTCCGATATAATGAAACGCTACTTTTGAGACACTATATTTTCCAAAATTGATATAAATATTAAAAGATTGTGTATTAAATGAAAATTCACACAGTTAAAAGATTTGCAAATAAAAAAAAGCTATCACATTGATAGAAAAGACATCAAACTACAGGCGGGTTAAGTGAAACTTCTAGACATCTAGACAAAATCAAAGTACTGTGGGCTATTTAATTTGTAATTCAACACTGGAATGCACATGTCAGAAATCCAGAATATGGTGAAATTGATCAAAATTTGAACATGTGTAACAGGAAAGTTTGAGTGAGGTTCTAGCTACAGCTATTCAGTGACGTGATCGAGGGATGGGGGTGATGGGTGTGACTCTAATTAAAGACTTCAGAAATACCTCGCAGTCATCAACAGCACCTGTTAAATTCTTGTCATTCATCAGAAAATATATACCATATATGGACATAAACGAATTAGTTGCATAACCATAAGGTTACCCATACATCTGTATGTTACTGTGGAACAGGGACTGCTCATTAGCTTTATATGCAGAGACTCTGGTTAATCTAGCTACAAAGAGTTTAACCCTAATATGGCCACCTGACACTCTACAAAGTGTTTAACCCCTAATATGACCACCTGACACTCTATAAAGTGTTTAACCCCTAATATGGCCACCTGACACTTTACAAAGTGTTTAACCCCTAATATGACCACCTGACACTCTACAAAGTGTTTAACCCCTAATATGACAACCTGACACTCTATAAAGTGTTTAACCTCTAATATGGCCACCTGAAAAACTACAAAGTGTTTAACCCCTAATATGGCCACCTGACACACTACAAAGTGTTTAACCCCTAATATTACCACCTGACACTCTACAAAGTTTTTAACCCCTAATATGGCCACCTGACACTCTACAAAGTGTTTAACCCCTAATTTGGCCACCTGACACTTTACAAAGTGTTTAACCCCTAATATGGCCACCTGACACTCTACAAAGTGTTTAACCCCTTATATGGCCACCTGGCACTCTACAAAGTGTTTAACCCCTAATATTGCCACCTGACACTCTACAAAGTGTTTAACCCCTAATATGGCCACCTGACACTATACAAAGTGTTTAACCCCTAATATGGCCACCTGACAACTAACTTCACACCAACAAAAACTGTGCATGGTTTGCATATAGGTAGATTGATCGTAACCAATGATATATATAAAAAAAAGTTTAAAACAGATAATCAAAGTTTTTGAAATAGGACAATGTGTGTATTATTCAGTGATTGACGTAATATTGGTGTAATAAGAAAGTCTGATCACCTGAAGCCAGAGATGAACGAGAGATTTTTCCACACTGAATCTTTTGCGCATTTTGACCTGGAGGAGGTTTGTGATGAGGTCTATAGCTGTAATACAAGGAGGAAGAGTATTAGAGGTCAACTCAAGGACAAACAAGATTGTTCCACAGCTCACAACCACAGCAGGTAGTATTCACACAGGTAAGACCCTACACTACCTGGTCAGGTAGGACCCTACACTACTTGTCCGAAGGATGCCCTAGTACTTTTTACTTTTTTGTCTTTGTTGACCTTGCCTGACCTAGCTAGAATCCTAACAAATATACATGATGTTTTGTATGAGAAGTCATTATATTCCGATTTTCTTCAAAACTTACATCTTTCTTTTGTTACCAGAGAGAAAAGCTATGTGACTACAGTTTATTCAGCTGGTGTAGAACTTACATTTTGAAGATAAATGATAGCTAACCAAGGTATTATTTAGTGAGGTATTCTCTGCACGAGTTAGATACTGGTAAGTGTAACACTATCACATCTATTACAGGAAGAAAAAAATTAGCTGAGTTAATGAAATGAATTAGAGCCTATGACCAATCCAATAACAGGTTGTCTCCCCTTTACCCCTTAGGTTAAAAATAAAATCTTTTGAAACTGAAAAAAAAATCAAACTAAAAAGAAATATCATGTTAGCTAAACAGATAACAAAAGTTTAAAAATACAGGTCTGTCTAATTATAAAAAGGTTGCAAGTTTTATTGGAACTTCTTTTCATTGCATTGAAGATATTACTAAAAATATTGCTGAACTATTTCAGAGAAAATTATAAACTGCTTCTACTATCAGACCTCAACCATACAGAAATGATATAAGAAATTATAGCAGTCTATAACGGCTAAGTGTTTACTATGTGTGGTTTCTGTGAGTTTCACAGCTGCAAAAGAAAAGTTAGTGAAGCGTGAGTTGGAAGCTGCAACACTACCGTGTGATGATCTACGGACACAGTTGTTCAAATTACGCCAACCTCAACGTAAACATCCTTCACTTGGAATACTTTTATAAAGTGTATGAAGACTAAAGGTATTTTTAGGAATTTCAAAAGAATTCCTGATGATGAATTTTAAGATAATAGTTAACTTTTGAAAAGTAGAGTACTAACTCATTGAGCTGACGAAAGTCTGAACAACTGATACCACAAACCAATACAAATCATTTATCCTCCTCTTAATTTGGTCTTCAGTACAGGGATTGGTTATCACATGGGTAGTTATTAGAAACATGAAAACCATGAGTTTTATCATACTGCATGTATCTCTGATAATAATACGTACTCAATATGTACATGTATATATATATCAGAAACACATGTTTTATCTCTGATATGTACACGTACTCAATATGTACATGTATATATCAGAAACACATGTTTTATCTCTGAGATGTACACGTACTCAATATGTACATGTTTACATCAGAAACACATGGTTATACATAAATGATTTGTATTTTAAAAGTTGATAAAGTGAAACTGAATAATAGATCACAGCACAAGATCATATTCAACCTGTACTAGCCACGGATGCGTCATTATCTGGTAAACAGGAGGCCGCTTTTGCAAATTTGTAACAAATATTTGCTTGATAAAACTTTTAGCTGAAAGAAAAACAAATATAAGAGTAAAATTAACACTTACTATGTAAATGATTAAGAACTTTTTAGGTTTAAACAGAGCTAATTCTAATGAAATGTGTACGCCCTCAATAACAGGTAAGCAGAGCACTTCCACCATATGTAACATGTTTACAAAATTGGGGACAACAGAGCATGCAGCAGTAGTGAGAGGGTGAAAGATTAAACGAATTAACAGGAGATATAAATACATCAAACAATCTATACTGTTGATTTCCTGTAACTTCATCTCAAATAACTTGTTCGAAAAAACATTATAATACATGTATTATAAACTTATATAACGAAAAAGGAATTTTCTTTTTATAAATAATGAAAATTATTATCCTATATATTGAGTATAACATCATCAAAATACAGCTCAGGTATATATTTTTGTCTCTAAAAAACTACACAAAAGTTTTTGGTATTATACACAAGATGAACTCTGACCCAAGACACTAAGAGACAAACAACATGCAACTTGTATTTAAACTTGTTAAATCAATCTTAATACAAACTAAATCCACAACATTTATTCCAAAATAAGAATAACACATGTAGAAAATGAATACTTGATTAAAACCAATACAATAGAGAACTAGATTTCAATGTGTAGACATGCAAGAGTTATCTCCCTTTCAGTGATATATAAGTGCCTCAAAATAAACAACATGCTTGCAAATAATAGGAGCCACTACACAATGTCTCGTACCACACCAACACCTTCACGACATTCTCAATTTATAGTCTATCACTGCACGCAGGTAAAAGCTGGTCAGCTTTTCAGCTATTCCATGTGCCAGATTTTTCAATGAAATTTTGTCTATGATGGATCTCAAAACAACAGGAAAGGCAAACTGTTCATTGAAAATATCAAACATGTCAAGAATCGTTCTTTTTAAATCAAAATAAATAAATACAAAAATGAATAAAAGAAAACAATAACAACTGAATTTTGTGTCTAAACAGTAATTAAAGCTGAACTTTTAAGATGAACAAACATTTAAACACCTCATAAAGTGACAATATCAGAACATTACTCTATTACTATATAAAAGTGTGATCCTATTGTAGATGTGATATGGACTTACCTTCCTGTGATATATCCTTCCAGGGGTTAGGGGGGTACATGAACGAGGCGTTCTGTATCTGATCACTCACTTCCTCATCCTCATTGAAAGGGAATGTTCCACTAATACTGTAATAGATAATACCGTACTGCACAGTATGTCTACCACACAGCTTTAACATACACCGTCCCTCACACTTAAAATACATAGTGTCACTAGATTTTAAAAGAAATACACACAATTATATTATCTACTATATTTTCTAATAGCTGGTCTAAAACAACCCACGCTTATTGTGGATCTAAAGAGGGCTAAGTGCAGAGTTCTTTCAACAAATGAGAAAATATTTGATTTTTTTTGCATCTTTAAGCACCTTGATTTCACATTTAGAAAATATTTATTTTTTTATTTGGAATTGAAATAACGTAGGTGACCAATTAAAGCATTTTTCAACTTAGCTGACCAATAGTAACCTTACCTGACGTAGATGACCACTCCTACTGACCACATATCTAGAGATCGATTATAGCCTTTACTTTTGAGCACTTCTGGAGCTGTTAATAAGAAACGAAGGATTATTACATACATTTAATAATAAACAAATCTTTTTATTTAGTTTATATGGAGAAAAAATCTGTATATGGAAATGATATTAAAGTAGAGTCTGATAAATGCTAAGTTTAACTGAAGTCAGCGAAGGAGAAAACATAGGTCACTGACAGTGACCTACAATTAATATATATATAAATATATATCAGTAGTACTCCTCCAGATTTAGAGGCGTCATGATTCACCGCAATGTACTTGTATCGCGATTATTTATGTTCGATTCGATTCACGATATATTTTTCCGGATTTTCAATACGTCACAATCTGAATATTAGTGTATGCCGCTCCAGCCGAAACGTCTGTGAGACGTTCAGTTTCATTGGCTGATCTCTAAACCCTCAGCCAATCGGCTGCGAAGATACAATTTACACGAAGTATTTATAACAAAATGGCTGACAGCGGTAAGAAATTGAAAATTTGTGATGCTCCGGCAAGCTTCAAAACAAGTGTGGAAACACTTCGGATTCCCGTATATCGACGGTTTATAAATCTCATTTTGTTTATTTTTTGAAATAAAGGTGTATTGAATCGAAATAATCGAATCGTGGTACAAATATAGAGATACGTATCGAATCGTTAGGTTTGCTGACTTATGGACTTTGGTATTAGAGTCGATTTTTGACCCTAACTAATGTGCTGTACGTAAAGAAAAGGCAAAATACTATGTAGTAGGGGTACACGTATAATTATAAAACTACAATAGTATAGTCAAATTATAACACTATGATATTAACAAGGGCCTGTATCGCTCACCTTGATATCCAAGCAATCATGGTAAAATATTCTTCAAATGAGATCCCCAAGGGAATATGCCAGACTCCAAGGCCAATCCTTGTAGCATATCTGTATTAGATTTTTCATACTCAGCAATTTTATGCATGATTATGGGGTGGGGATCTCAACTGTTTGCAAGCTGTGACTCAGAAACTAGGTCCCTAGGGTTGTGGCAAGACCCCAGGATCAATTCTAATACCATTACTGCATTTGTCTCTTTGCCAAGCATTTGTATATATATAGTTGTGGGGTGGGGATCTCAACGGTTTGCAAGCTGTGACTCAGAAACTAGGTCCCTAGGGTTGTTGCCAGACCCCAGGATCAATTCTAAAACCATCACTCCATTTGTCTCTTTGCCAAGCATTTGAATATATATAGTTTTGGGGTGGGGATCTTAACCATTTTGAAGTTATAACCCAGGGGTAAAGTCTCCAAGGGTGGGGCAGTCCCCAAAGCCATCCTGGAAGCATATGTGCTTTCATCTCTTTACACTCAGCAATTGTATATATGGTTATAGGGTGGGATCTCAACTGTTTCCAAGCAACTAGGTTCCTATGGGTTCGGTCAGACCCCAGGGTCTATTCTAATATCATGACTGCATTCGTCTCTTTATGCCCAGCATTTGTATATATAGTTTTGAGGAGGGGAACTCAACCGTTTTAAAGTTATGACCCAGGAACTATGTCTCCAAGGGTGGGGCCATACCCTAGGGCCATCCTGGAAGCAAATGTGCATTCTTCTCTTTATACTTAGCAATTGTATATATGGTTAAACGGTGGGGATCTCAACCATTTCCAAGTAATACACTTTTTTGGCCCCACCCCTTAGCCCGGGGGGTCGCCCCCACCATTTGTACACTTTTGAATTCCTGCCTCCATTTCGAATCCCTGCCTCCCATGAATTCTTCCGACCAAATATGATCGATATCCATGGCATAGTTCTACAGAGTATAGCAATATAACCAAATATATTCAAATATGGTTGATATTCATCTCTTAGTTCCAGAGAAGAAGTCGCTTAAAGCAATATAGCCAAATAACCTTTTTTGGCCCCGCCCCTCAGCCCCCTGTACACCATTTGTACAATTTTGAATCACCACCACCTAGGGATACTTCCAGTGAAATTAAGTTAAAATTCCAATCAGTGGTTAAGAAGAAGAAGGCGTTGACGTACGGACGACGGACGCCACATTATGGCATTCCTTCGGATCCGGTGAGCTAATAATAATGTGAAACTGTAAAGCTACCACATTACATGCTGAGTCAAACTAATGTAAGTTGATATGATTGTACTTACCAAGGTACGCTGGGGTGCCTACCACAGACCTACGGAAAGACTTTTCACCGATGATACGTGCAAAACCAAAATCACATAATTTCACCTGAAAATAAATATCAATATCTATATAATTTTTTAAATATCTTAGTATGCTTTTGAAATGTGTGAATAAATTAAGTTTCAGTTTTGATTATAGGTACCTAGATTGTTATATGTACCTTTGAGGTATAGCAAGGTAAATTTTCTGATGCAGGCAGTTGTAGTTATTTACCTGGGGGAAGGCTGTCTCTAATGACAATCGACGGGTATATATTTACCTGAGGACGATTTTTTGATGAAGACAGTTGTAGATATTTACCTGAGGAAAGGCAGTCTCTGATGACAACAGAACATTCTCAGGCTTCAGATCACAATGTACTATATGTTTTGAGTGTAGGTGTTTAAGGGCAACCAGGATCTGAAATTGGAATTAAATGTACTCAAATTCAGTCAAGATATTTGGTTCTCATTTGGATGTAATAGTTTTGTCATTCTTAATTGTTGTTTTCTACATGTTTGTGTGAACTTTCAAAACTACTAATATGAACAAAAACATAAGACATTGTGAGATTGTGGACCTGTGAGGTACTAACCTGAGATTGTGTACCTGTGAGGTACTTACCTGATATTGTGTACCTGTGAGGTACTTACCTGTGATTGTGTACCTGTGAGGTACTAACCTGTGATTGTGTACCTGTGAGGTACCTACCTGTGATTGTGTACCTGTGAGGTACTTACCTTAGAGGAATTGCCTGAGATTGTGTACCTGTGAGGTACTTGACTGTGATTGTGTACCTGTGAGGTACTTACCTGTGAGGTACTTACCTGTGATTGTGTACCTGTGAGGTACTAACCTGAGATTGTGTACCTGTGAGGAACTTACCTGTGAGGTACTTACCTGTGATTGTGTACCCGTGAGGTACTAACCTTAGAGGAATTACCCGTGATTGTGTACCTGTGAGGTACTTACCTGTGATTGTGTACCTGTGAGGTACTTACCTTAGAGGAATTACCTGAGATTGTGTACCTGTGAGGTACTTAACTATGATTGTGTACCTGTGAGGTACTTACCTGTGATTGTGTACCTGTGAGGTACTTACCTTAAAGGAATTACCTATGATTGTGTACCTGTGAGGTACTAACCTGAGATTGTGTACCTGTGAGGTACTTACCTGTGATTGTGTACCTGTGAGGTACTTACCTGTGATTGTGTACCTGTAAGGTACTTACCTTAGAGGAATTACCTGTGATTGTGTACCTGTGCGGTATTAACCTGAGATTGTGTACCTGTGAGGTACTTACCTGTGAGGTACTTATCTGAGATTGTGTACCTGTGAGGTACTTACCTGTGATTGTGTACCTGTGAGGTACTTACCTTAGAGGAATTACCTGTGATTGTGTACCTGTGCGGTATTAACCTGAGATTGTGTACCTGTAAGGTACTTACCTGCGATATAAGGTACTTCGTAACCCTCTCACTGAGTCGACCTTTAGGACTAGAAAGAATCATTTCTAACATATCACCCTTCTGCTTTTCCATCACAACAAATATCTGAAAATTAAAGAAAAGAAGAACTGTTATGTTTTTTAATAACATTAGTTTTAAAGTTCAATGTATTGTTGTTTATGAAGGATATCATTACAATCTGTTTTAGAGTATATTGAATATTAATCTTAAAGTGTAAATGTTGCTGTTATAAGATTTTTTAATCTTATGTTATAACTTTATCTGACCATACACATGTCTATAATTTTATCTGACCATACTCTAGTCTATAACTTTATCTGCCTATACTCCTGTCTAAAACTTTATCTGACTGTTACTTTACCTGAAAAAATCCACCTGTACCTTACCTGTGAATATACACTTGTTTACAATGTTTAAACTGGAATTAAGAGTATTCTTCTTAGTGTAGAACTCTTTTTGAAAAAAGATGCATTTCATCATAAAGTCGTCTATATCCTTAAGTCAAAGGTGAGAATTATATGTGCTATCTGAAGTAAACAGTAGTCAAGCTTACCCGTTCTGGGGTCTCAAACATTTTCTCCAAGTTAACGACTCCTGGATGATGTAGGTTCTTCAAAATAGAACAAAATAACATAAGTTTGTAATCAAAATCACACAAAAAAGCAACTGGAAAAGTTAATAAGTGAAGGAGAATTCAGGTAGTTATGATAACGTCTTCCCCACTTACAGGTCAGTCCTGTTTCCCACATATAAAGTTTACAAGCCAGACTTGTTTTCCACCTATAAAGTTTACAAGCCAGACTTGCTTCTTGCCTATAAAATTTACAGGTCAACCTAGGTTTCTGCCTCTTAAATGTATAGGTTAGACTTGCTCAAGTCATTTAGAGGCCAGACTTGCTCAAATCATTTAGAGGCCAGACTTGCTCAAGTCATTTAGAGGCCAGACTTGCTCATGTCATTTAGAGGCCAGACTTGCTTTATGAAGTTTTAAGGCTGGACTTGCTTCCTACCTGTAAAATTGACACTTCGTTTTTGAGTTGAGCTTCCTGTTTTGTCGGGAATCGTAATTTATCTATGACTTTGATAGCCACTTCCCTATTGGTCTTCCTGTGCTTCCCTGTGTAAAGTAAAGAATAATGAGTGGTTTATACTAAAACAAAAACAACAAAACTTATTCAGGACAAAAAATATACCATTTTACCAATTTTGGTCTCAAAATTATATCTGAATCTATTGAACTTGCAATTTGAATATATTGAAAAACAACACTTATTTAGAGATTATAAAATGAAATATCAAAAGGTACTAACTGCAGTCAACAAGACAATGCATCAGCCTATTAGAAGCTATGACAGTTATCCTGAATTTTGAATTTACTTGAAAGACAGTGACTATTAAAGTCACATAATGAAACACTTCAAAACATAAAGTACTGTTTTGTAATTATTTTTTTGTAATTGACCAATACCTTTGGTAATTAACATACCTCCATATACGATACCAAATTGTCCTGAACCTAGCACATCGTCAGGGTATATCTGGTACAACTGACTGATGTCCTGAATAACAAAATACTGCACACAATAAATATAAATATCTAAGGTAATCAGTACAGTCACATATCTAAACAAGAGGCACAATGGGCCTGCCTCGCTCACCTGGTATAAATCTCACTCTTGTAACCTTAAAAGTGATCTAAAATAAAGCTACAGGCAAAATATCTGTATTTATGATTAAAAGTCATTCAAAAGAACCTGTAATTTTTTTTTTTTTCCCCCCTGTGATTGAAAGTTGAACAAAGTCATTATGTTGAACAAATTTTATAGCCTTCCATCTCAGGATGCAACTTGCAAAATATCAATATCCTGAGACCCATGGTTATTCAGAAGAGGTCGTTTAAAGATTTTAAACAAATTTGACCCCTGTGACCTTGAATATGGGTGAAGGCCATTCATTTGAACAAACTTGGTAGCCCTTTATCCCAGCATGCTACGGGTCAAATATCAGTACCTCGGGGCTTTTGGTTATTGAGAAGAAGTTGTTTAAAGTAAGATATTGACGCCGGACGGACAGACGGATGACGGACGCCGCACCACGGCATAAGCTCACTTTTGGGCCAGGTTAGCTAAAAGAAATCAGGTTTCGGACATAGAGCTGTGTTCTACGTGGTCACTGGCTTTATTTTCCATCGTGATTGCCCACACCTTTAAATTTCAAAGCACTGACATTCAATTACTGTACTGAAAAGAGTTAATTCTATACAACTTATGTCATTAATGAATGTTGCAATGCAAGTTTTAGCTGTCATATTTTTATTTATCACATAATGTACTGTGTTATCCAGTGAATATACACATGTCATATTTGTTTGCGTATTAATTGTGACGTCACACCTAGGACAAGTAGATGACGTCACAGACTTACGCACTGGAGTCAAAATGGCAGCTTGTTACATTTCAAGGTTGCATAAAAATTGACATTATACAGGGATAAAAGTCACAAATCTTGATTATGTGATAAAAAGGATCTTACAATCATTTTTATTTCATTTGAAATTTATGAAACTAGTCAAAAATTGTTCATTTTTGTTCGTCTAATTGAAAATTTCTTAAGACTCGTTTCATAAATCTTATATGAAATGAAAACTCATGTAAGATCCTCTTTATCCGCAGAGCCCTGATTTAGATAAATACATTTGAATGCCCATTACTATGCCAGACAAAGTACTTGGGGTTTTTAACTGTTAAATCAACTTCCGTGCTTTAATACTTACCCTGATTTTATTATCCTTGCACTCATAGTTTATCCCCCATACAAAAGATTTCATTGCCAATTACCTCCCTTGACGAAACTCATTCAGGGAGGATATTGGAACTCAAAAAAATTATCTTACTGGTAAGTATTACATTATGAAGTTTACTACTTCAATTTCTTTCAGTAAAAGCGAATATCATGTAAGTAATGTGCAAAAAATGAAATTTGTCATCAATGTATCACCTACATGTATCACTCCAACAAAGTCAAAAGAAAGTCATCTCAATTGAACTCCAGTTTTTATGGTATTTATCTCTGCTGTTTAGGATTTATCTGGACATGGCTTGAAATGACATGTAGAACAAAAGGTGATGGATATGAGAAAAATGTTGAAACTCAAAACTAAATGCAAAGTGCACAACTGTATGAGAAAGTAGTGCTGTATGGAAAGTTTTATTAGAATCAGTCTGGTAGTTTAGAGAAATTGTTCAGAGGAAAATATTCTATGGATCGACAGTCTAAAAAGCCAATTCAAGTTACCCCCACTCCGCTCTAACCTTCCAGTCATAGGTCAGAATGTGTACCTGTTGTTGGTCAGTATGTGTACCTGTTGTTGGTCAGTATGTGTACCTGTTGTTGGCCAGTATGTGAACCTGTTGTTGGCCAGTATGTGTACCTGTTGTTGGCCAGTATGTGTACCTGTTGTTGGCCAGTATGTGTACCTGTTGTTGGCCAGTATGTGTACCTGTTGTTGGCAAGTATGTGTACCTGTTGTTGGCCGGTATGTGTACCTGTTGTTGTCCAGTATGTGAACCTTTTGTTGGCCAGTATGTGTACCTGTTGTTGGCCAGTATGTGTACCTGTTGTTGGC